TTCCACGGCTTGGAGTTTTCTAGGGAGAATGTCAGCAAAGACACTCCGAAATTCCGCATTGCGCATTTTTCGAAAAATAGTTCTCGAGAATTTTTTTCGAAAAAACATGCTGGCCGAAATCTACCTATCCCAGAATGACCCGGACTTTCTTGTTTCCAAAAAGCCTCGGTTGAAATAAATGTGAAATGTTTATAAAATTATGAATTTATAAACCCTCAGAAAACGTATGCGATCTGAATGACCTTTCGTATCAGACCAGATGTGCTCATGTGTGTGCTCCGCCCGAGTCGATTAGAGGAACAAGTTTCAGATGAGCAAAGAGGCGGAAACGAAGACGGAAGACAAGGGAACCGAAAAGATCACGTGTAGTTCAGGAAATTGTAAATTAAGAAAATAGAAGAAGAAGGGGTGGTGTTGGTGGTTATGAATGAACAAAAATAGGTGTCAAATTTCAAAAAAGTTTGAAAGAAGAAGAATGAGAGGAAGTGATTTTTGCGGTCATTTTGTGCTCAAAGTGGTACTTGGATTTTTTTGAAATTTTTTTTTTCAATTTTTTTCGCATGGGTGAAATTCGATATTGTAAGATTAGCAAGAAAAAACTTTTGACTATGAATCTAGCCCTACAACCAATTCGATTTGCCAAGAAAGAACAGGTGTAAAAATTAGGCTTTTGAAAATTAACGAAATATTTTCGAACAGCTGATGTGTGTGGGTATGTTTGAATAAAAAGAGTACCGAAAATTTTTTTTCGTGTTCTATGTTCAAATTGAAAGTCAACAGAACGCCTCATTTAGAACGAGGTAATGTCTTAGATGGACGAGAAACAGGGATGGGAGTGGTGATTGGAATTTACAAGGACGAACAGAAATTTGCAACATTTTGATTTAATAGGATACTGGGAAAACGTTCCTAGAAGTCGGAGATGTGAAAATGTATATTTCTCAAAACTTTGATGCCCCTCGAGGAATTGAATTTGTGGGCGCTTTTTTTTGTGCCGCGTTGTTCCCAGCTGAGCTACGGTGATACAATCTACGAAACGACAACTTTGAGCTTATATATCTCGGTCCCTGTAACAGATATCAAAAAGAGGTCAACGGACAAAATGTTTATCATAATATCAACGATATTTTGTCAGTTAACTACTATTTTATATCATTCACAAGCACCGAGATATTTAAGCTCAAAGTTGGCGTTCGAGTGGCTTTCTATTATCGTGCTTATGGTAGCTGCTCCTCAATACTGAATTATGGCCCAAGTTTTTTTTGTAAATTGTTTATCATAACATAAAACATATTTTGTCAGTTGACTACTTTTTCATGTCTGTTATAGGGACCGAGATATTTAAGCTCAAAGTTGGCGGTTCGAGTGGCATTGTTTACGGTAGCTGAAATCCACTCCTAGGGACTGAATTATGACCCAACCTATTTTTGTTTTTGGAAATAAATCTTGCCAGTTTGTCACATGTCTAGTACATGAATAATTTTGAACTTGAAAACAGCACTACGTCTGAAAAAAGTTTGGTTGAAAGCTTAAAAAACTCAAAAACTTTACGACAATGTACTAACTTTTTTTATAGGTCAAGCCAAAGTAAACAAAATTAGAAAAAAAAGAGATTATCTTTTTTTTGACTCCGCGTCACTTCGAAACTGCAAAACCAGTCATTCCGGAACCAGTTATTTCGAAAATGGTAATTTTTTAAAGGTGGGGGGACATGAAAAAATAATGTTCTCGAAATTCCGTTCAAAGATGCCCCTCGAGGATTTGAACTTGTGAGGGCGATGATTGAGGGTGCGGCGCCGCTACCAACTGAGCCACGCGGGCAAAGAGAAAGCGCACGCCCGATTGCATACATAAAGGCGAGGACGACAGCTGTACGCAGAGTGACATTAAGCGTTGTACACCGTGACGGTAGAACGCATACTCTAGCTACAAAAAAACTACGAAAAATCTCCTGTCCCCCCACCTTTAAAGAAAAAAAAATATATTTCAGATATTTTCGAATTTCAGAATGTATTCTATCAGAAAAAGCGTATTAAAAACTCTAAAATTGCTTTTCTAGTCTGAAATGTATCCATTCGCCTGTATTTCTACGGTTTTCAAATGAGCAGTTTCGAAATGACTAGTTTCAGAGTGTCGCAGTTTCGAAGTGTCGCTGACCCTTTTCTTTCTGGAAACGAGTTTAAATTGTTCAAAAACATTTCAATCACCAAGCTAACACCGAAAAAAACTATTGGGACCAAAATCTGAAATTTTTATTTACTCTCCGTGGAAAAGTTTTTGTTCAAGTTCATATTTTTTGCTGTTTCCGACACCTTGTCTGGTAACGTCATTTGAAGGAAAAAGGATGCAAGACCTTGGGAACAACGATGGGAAAAAGGGAAGAAATTAATTGAAACTAGGAAAAAAGGGAAGAAAAGAGAAAACTAATGGGCCGTACTTTTTCTTGAGTACGCTTTTTCTTGGTTTTTTTTTGTTGTTGCAAAAGGCTTGGAAATTGAGTAAGTTGAATTAGAAAGAACACTGTAATTATAAAAATAGACTCTAATTAGTCATGGAATCAAAAAATGAGATCATAAGATGATGATGACGAGAAAAGAATAAGAATGGGGCTGGAAAAGGGAACATGTAGAGGAGAGTAGCTGAGCGAAAACACAATTATGACAAGAAGCCGAGTATTTTCAGCATATGAGAATATGTAGAGAAACGAAGAGGACGAAGAGAAGGTTCGTCTGTTTCCACAGAGAGCAGCAGTCATGTTTTGGGGGTTGACTTTTAGGGGAAGAACAAGAAGAAGAGGTGTTTTGTGATCAGAAAAAGAAGAATAAAGACTAGTGAGTTGCGTCCATTAAAGAGACAAAAACTGAAGGGACCACTAATTTGGCAACATTTTGTATTTGCAGGAAGGGAACACTTGATTGATGCATTTAGCATTGTAAACATCATTATGATTGAAGATTAGTGATAATGCCAATACATATTGTCGATTATAAAGTTCAGAATCATTATTTTTGACCTTCAAGACTGACTTACCGTAAACACTTAAATAAAAGGCCACCTTAACCGTCAAATTTGAGCTTGCATATCTCGGTTTCCGTAAAAGATAACAAGAAGTGGTCCACTGGCAAAATATTTTTGATAGTATGATCAGCATTTTGCAAGTTTATCATTATTCAATATCCTTCACGGAAACCGATCTGAAGTAGCTCGAATTTGAAAGCTAGGGGCCATTCTATAAGAGTGTTTATGGAACTCTTTCATGGTTACTGTATTTTTAAAATATAATTCTTTTTGATACGGCACCTGGTTTAGCATCTGCCTAGACACTTTGTTCCAGCGATTATTTGAAAAAAGATCTTTCTAGCAATCTTTCGACCGTTCACGGTTTTGAAATGACTGGTTTTAAAGTGTCGCAGTTTCGAAGTGACGCGGAGTCAAAAAAAGATAATCTATTTTTTTTTCTAATTTTGTTTACTTCGGCTTGACCTATAAAAAAAGTTAATACCTTGTCGTAAAGTTTTTTACGAGTTATTCGACTTTTTCAACTTCAAACTTTTTTTCAGACGTAGTGGTGTTTTCAAGTTCAAAATTATCCATTTACTAGACATGTTATCCATGTACTAGACAAGATTTATTTTCAGAAAAAAAAATTGGCTCATAATTCAGTCTGTAGAATTAAATTTCAGCTACCGTAAACACTTTTATAAAAAGCCATTACAAACCACCAACTTTGTCCTATAACAGATACGAAAAAGTAGTCAACTGACAAAATATGTTTAATGTTATGATAAACAATTCGTCAGTTGACAATTTTTTAATATATTTGACAGGTATCCTGAAAAATTAGCTCAAAGCTACAAGTTATAGGGTCCTTCTATTACAGGTTCCATGGTAGTCAAGTATCCACATTCAATTTTATAGACGATCTCGGTACTAAAAAAGATCAGAATTTTTGAAATCGAAAAAAATTGAAATATCATAAAGCAAAAATGCAGGATTAAAGTCAGACATGTGTAGTCAAAAAAGTTTCGTTGATCCCCATTTTCCTTGAAAACTAGAAAACAAGATCTTTTACTTATGAGGGCATGGCGAGTTTCAAGACGCCAATAGGAACTGTACAGTAAAAAACAGTCAACTGTCGCACGGCAGCATTCACAGCTCGGTCAGCCGACCGGCATTTTAGACTTGGTCTAACCCAATTTTCATAGACAACTAAATGGTTAATTCGTACTAAAAACATATGGGCGTTTTCAAGACATCAATAGTAAATGAATAGTAGAAAAACAACGTTAACCTAAATACAGACCCAACAGGGTCCAGCAGTTAGGATACATAAATGAACAACATTCCGTGCCTACTTCATCATCAGCGTTTTTTCCCCTCCCCGCACTCAACGTGTATTTCCTATCTGCGTTTGCTCGACTTGCACTCTCTCTCCTCGAAACAATTGAATTTGTGCGTGTATGTCTTTGAAGACGTCGGTGCCCGACCGTCGTTGTCGCCGTCGTTTTCTGGAGGAGCCATCATCTCCATCACCTTTTCTTCTCTTATATTTCTTTTTCTTTTTTCATTTTATACCAATTTTTTCTATAGATGAGCGGAAATTGCATTCATTCCCTCTTATATTGTTCCTAGCTCTTTAGTACTAGCAGAAGCAAAAAAAAGAAAACGAGAAGAAATGTTTCATTAGAATAAGTCTGAATTTTGTGTAAATAAATAAATTTAATTATAACTTACAAAAAAATTTTTAATTTAATTATAACTTACTAAAAAAAAGTTTAAGAAAGATTGGTCGAAGGTCGGGGGTATGAAAGCCAAGGAACCGTCGATTCAGGAAAACGCTGATCTGATTCTTTTCGTTTTTAGAAACTATCAGCATTTTGAAAAAGCCGTCGTGGTACCAAGACAATCAAATAGAGAGAAAAAGGCAAAATCATGGCGAAAAAAAAAGAAAAAGAAAGACATAGAATTTTGAATTATAAAATAAAATATTGTAGAAAAGTTTAATATTGGTAGCAGATCTTGTATCCGCAGCTGGTCATACAGCATGATGGTTGAGCCTGAACAACAAAATCTAGTTTGCTCACAGTACTCAAGCATAACACTTACCGTATTCTCACGTCCCAAGCAATCGCTATCACTATTACAGGCATCAGCATGAGCGAACAGACAGTTCAATCCAGCGTTGGCGTCATTTGGGCAAGCTGGTGTTCCGGTGACTCCGCTCTGACCACAGGTGGCTTGGCAAGAAGCGAGCGATTGGAAGTTATTGGCATTTCCACCGCATCCACTGAACATGAACTGGTTGCAACGTCCCGAGGAAGCATCGTAGTAGAATCTGACAGCAGGAGCTGTGCAGGATCCAACAGCGAGTGGAAGAGAGCAAATGGATGTGCCTGCAAAGGTTTTTGAAAATGTTCTCGTTCTTTTTGAATATGATCTAGTTCTAGCTCACTCTTCTTACTAGCGATTCCAACTGGGTCACGACAGATTCTGGTGGCAGAGTTGGTCACTGGATTTGGTTCAACACAGCACTTCTGGATGCCAGGACAGTTAGAATCCATCCAACATCCGATAGTGGTATCCTGAAACACGGAGATGCCGAGTGGACGCGGGCAAGATCCAGACTTTGAGTTGATCTCCGACGCCGGGATTCCTGAAACACATTATTATGTTCATTTTGGCTATTTGTCCAGTGTGTGCGCGGCGGGGCAAAAATGCAAAAAGTGTCATAATCTTCAACAAACAGGCTGAGAGAGATGCCGCCTGTTTGTAGAAGCATGTTTTGTTGTGATCTTTTCGCGCCATTGTGTTTGAGCAATAAGTGTCAGAGGGGGCTAAACATGAAGCACAAATATGAAATTGCTTTAGATTTAATAGAAAAGCCTTTAAGAACACTCACTATTGTTTTTCTAATATAATGATGCTCAAGAACAAAAAAAATCTTACCAGCTGTCACAATTTGGCAGCACTTGTTACCATCAGACTGAATGCAAACTTGGCCGGAAAGTGGACACGTTTGAGCATCAGCTGTGCATTGGATAAGAGCAGCAGAGCTGAAATAGGTCTTGCTTTGGGGACTTAGAATTGGTCTTTGGAAATTTTTGGAATTCGGAAGAAATGGGAAACATCCTAACTTTTCCAAAAGTTCTTTCAGAGTCCCTACCTAGAACAGAACCCGATTCTTGGAGCAGCAGTCGTTGGAGCGGGTGTCGAGAATTGACGTGCACACTCTGGATGCTCGTGAAGCTTTCCGATGTGTCTGTAGTATTCGCAAATGTCAATGACACCGAACACACTGACAAAGGTCTAAAAGAAGAACATAATACATCCAGGCTGCCATCAATAGAAATTACCAGCGATGTAAAGATAATAGTCCTAATCATAATGTTGCAATTGTGTTATCAGAAGATCGGAATAATCGGGTTGGGATTTGTGATTAGAGACTGAGATTGGGGAGACCGAATGAATGAGCTTGTTTGACCGGAGACAGGGCAGGTGGGAGGGTGGTGGACGACGAAAGGCGGTTTTCCGCCGGCGCCACCTCCCGAAATGCTCTTTATAACCGTACGCAGGAATCTAGAGATTACAGTTGCCAGTGGAGGGGTGTTGAGGAAACGGAAAAGAACCGAGAAGGATGGAGCATGTGTCCAATTAGAGGATTAAGCGCTTCTTAGGTGTGGTAAGCAGGTTTTCGCAAATATTTGTCGGGCAAAAAATGGCATGGATTTTTGAGAGAGATAAGTGAGTTTTTTTGCATCGTTTTCCTCTGCAAGAGATATCCGAACAGATGAGACAGTCACTTGAAGATGGTGATATTTACAATGATGCGAAAAATGGTGATGATCAACAGCTGTTGTCAGTTGTTAAGCGTCTTGTTCAAAAAGTATCAGGAACTGGTCCTATGTTGAGTATGGTAACCATTTCATGATTTTGAATTTTTTTTTTAAACAGTACCGGCTAATAAGATATTCAAAAAATGTATTTTTATATGATTATTGGCCGTTTTGACCATTTTCAGAAGTCTGGACCTTGGCTATCGATTTCGGAGGGTGTAAAACAGACCAAGACTTTGCATTCTCAGAGTTTTTTTTTTTGAAAATTCCTAGTTTTCAGCTGTTGCCGATCCCTGACAGCCACCCCTTTTGGCCTGTTTTTGTACTTGAACGTGAAAAAACAACAGAAGTCTCCCAGAAATCGGTCAATAGCTTAAAAACTAGGATTTTCATAAAAATTACACCATCCAAAATTTTCAACGACAGCCGAAGTCAAGACTCTTGAAAATGGTCAAAATGGCCAATAATCAACTGAATAATGTGTTTTTGTATGCATATTTTTGTACGTATTGATCGATATTGTATTTTAAAGTAAGATAATTGATTAAGATAATTGACTAATTAAGATAATTGTCTTCAAATTTACGGTATGGAAAGTTCGGTCCATAAGAAGAGCTAGGTGGTTTCCAGCCAAGATATCTTCCCCAGGAGCCAAGAAAAATTGGCTTAAAATTAACTCCACCGACCTCTAACAGAAGCAAACCCAAATATTCAACTTTGAACTCAATTATCTCGATTCCTGTGAAAGATATCAAAATTTTGCTAAATAGTAAATATTCACCATATCACCAATGTTTTATCAGTTGACAGATTTTTTATATCTCTCATAGGAAACAAGAAAAACTGGCTTAAAATTGTACTCAACACTATTAGAAGTTAGACAGTAGTTAGACCACCTTTTTTGCAAAATGACATTTTCCATTTAAAGCAATTCATTGGTATTTTGGTTGGAGAAGATAGTGATAAACTTTTTAAAAAATTCTGAAAGTTGTCGCTTTCCAGTTGCCCCAAATCATTTTGTAATCGGTTTCATATCCACAAGGATCTTTAGCTGAAAAGTTAAGAGTTACTTCTATCACAGGGATTACGGTAACATCAGTCTCCTGCAACCTGGAAACATTCCCTAAACAGTCTTCTGCACTAAAATGACGTCACACGCGGTCATTCCCATTTTTTTTCACTCCAAGAGCCCACAGAGCACACCTAATTCTCCTGCTTATCCCCTTCTGGCCAACTGTAACCGCCATTGTCCACTTCCGGTGAGAGAGTTTTTGCCGTGTGCTTCCATGTTTGCTTACGTCGTCCAACGGCACAAATAGAGCCCAGTGGTGAATAGGAGAGGGTAAGGCGGCTCTCGGAAGAGTGTTTGTTCAAGAAAATTTGACAAGATAAATGACAGCGCACATGCAAAAAGGGCGATAGGAATTTCATGAGAAAGCACGGATATAAGGATAGATAAGTTTATTATTAGTCGTCTAAAAAATTAATAATTACAATTCATCCTTTTCAGAGTTTGATGTTGTCTTACTGTAAGCTGGGTCTACCAGGTCAAAGCCTTCTCTCTCACGAAGATTATTCCAGAAATCAAGGGGCTCTTGGAAAAGTCCATGCTTCACCGAAACTCCACTTGACTGGAAATTCAAGAAATTGACGTCATCTGGATCACTAACTGGCCTCCATTCCACGTCTTGGATATGTGGAACTCTGAAAAATTTAGATCTTGATTTTTTTAAAATCTGTTTTCAGACTCACCCAGTTTTGGCAAACGAAACGACCATATCGATTAAGTCACGCTGAAGCCAGCTCTCCGGCTCTTTTTTGAAATCAATTTGAGCCATAACAGGCATATTGAAGAGATAATGATACTCATTCGCGTGAGGGGAACCTGAAGGAACGATTTTAGTGTCATAAAATTTTCGAAAAGTTTACCTTTAGCTTGTTCTGGAATGTACTTCTTCCAGATTTGCTCGTTATAATGGTCAAAACGATATGTCCAGACGGGAGTCTTCCTCTCAACTCTAGCTGTGATTTCTCGAAGGATAGGAACATTGAAGGTAATATCAGAGAGGAGCTGAAACCTACAATATCAAGAATTTAGATATTCATTCCTTTTACCTCGGCATATCGATCAACATAAAATCCATTCAAATCCCTCTCAGGCTTGCCTTGTTTAGTGTAGTAGTCCAAAATCTGGTCCCAAACTTTTTGTCGATTTTCCCCGTATCTATTGTTATAGAGAAGTTTTCTATCAATAATTTCTGATATGAAGTCCTCGTCCACTTTTGGAATTTCTTCGGGGCTGAGACCGAAGTCCGCAATCACTCTGCCCATATTCATGGTAGCTGTAATACACATATTATTAACGAAAATCAAGTTTCATAAGTCCTTACCGAAATAAGATCCTTCTTTATTGCTCATGCCAATCAGTGTTGGTTTGATCGGTGCGTCATTAATCAAATTTTCCGGATTCTTTGGTAAATAATCTCCATCAATCACCGGCGACCATCTGAGAATATCAATTGTTCCTGTGGTCCATCCCTGCGTCTCAACTGCGTCAAATATTTCGTGAAGAGTTTTCTTCTTCATGCATTCTTTAGCTCCTGGCCATGGACATCCCAAAATTTCAGCCAATTGCTTAGAAGTGTCAATGACGTTGGGACCCGTAGCCCATCCGACGAAAGAGCTAGCAGACATAATTATAGCCTTGGAGTACAAGTCGTGTGTGTAAGGACTCATGGTCAGTTGAGAAACACTTGCGGCACCTGCACTGTATCCCCAAATAGTGATATCATCTGGATCACCACCAAAGTTTCCAATGTTTTCCTTCACGAATCTCAGAGCTGCTGCTTGATCAAACAATCCGTAATTTCCTGGAGCATCCGAAGTTCCCTCAGAGAAGAATCCTGGAATTTTAGATTATAAAAACGTTTCCAAAGTTCCTCTTACCCATGAACCCAAGTCTATATTGAATAGTGACCACAATGACTCCTTGAGACGTATACCTATCAGCGAAAAACTCATAACCATGTTGACTTCCCGATCCAATCTCATATCCACCACCGTGAACCCAGAAAAGAACTGGAAGCTTCTTCTCGATAGTCTTTGGTTTGATAACGTTGAGCGTGAGACAATCCTCTCCGGAGTAGCTGGAAAACTGGGCTACTAGCCGGTAGTGAGGAGTGCAGTCATTTCGGAATTGAGTGGCTTGATAGACATCTTCCCAAGGTTCAGGAGCTTCTGGTTTCTGAAGTTTCACATTTTGCGAATAATCAAAAAATTGATTTAAAATTGTACCTCAAATCTCAGGTTGTCAACTGGTGGTTTTGCAAATGGGATTGCAAGGAAAACCTCGGCCGCTCCATACTCAAATCCTTCTACTTTTCCATAATTGGTATTTACAACTGGGCCTGCCCAGCAAGCTCCGAATATCAAAAGAGAGGCTAGAAGAACCCGCATCTGGAATTTCAAGAAAAATAGAAAATTAGCAATAAATTCGACTATAAAATTAAAAAAATAACTAATGAATATGGTCAACGGCCAAAAAATAAAAATTGCGATGTTGCGAGAGACACAAAAAGTTATCATATCACGTTCTGCCAGGTAGATAGTGAGAGACGCAGACATGAAGAGTTATTAGTGACACAAACACACAGTTTTTGATCGGTGTGCCCCCATCGTGGCAAAAATCGGTCTATGGGGATAAATTGAGAAAAATATGTTATGTTTACAAAGAAATGTCCAAGTGTTTAACGGTCTCCCTTTTATTATAAAATTTCAAAAAAACTATCGAATTCGCTCTAGTCGAAGCCCATCTCATATGTGCACTTCGAGCTCAATCATCTCGGTTCCTGTCAAAGATATCAAAAATATGCAAACTAACAAAATAATTATCATAATACCATCAACATTTGATCATTTAGTTACTTTTTGATAACTCTCATCTCGAAACCGAGATAATTGAGTACAAAGTGCACTTATAGGGGAAGCTTCTATGAGAGCAGATACGGTATGCTTTTTGGTATAAATAAAATTTAGATTTGAAGGCTAAAAGTGAAATTCAAAGACTAGAAACTATCATAAAGGTACTGAAACTCGAAAAATATCAATAACCACCATACCACTTTGTTACTCTACGTTCTTATCAGTATAACACTTTTCTTATCACAGCAGTTTTTCTTCACGAAATCTGTTGTACATTGGTTTTTGTGTTCTTAAGTATGCTAAAAATTGAGATGTATGATGTTTGCGCATTACCAATATCAGAAATTGTTCAGAGAATATTTCAAGGCTTTTTAGACAAGGGCACATATTTCGAGACATTTTTCTAAAAACTCCTTACAACAATGTACAAATTCACTGATTATCCCACAATGAGGCTCGAAATGGTTAACGGAGGGGGACATAAAAATATACTTCTCAAAATTCTGTGACATACCTAAGCCTCTCGAGGGATTGAACATGTGGGGCATATCTGGAACCATAAGACTCCGATCACTCACGGCAACATACATACTCTAACTCCGAAAACATCCTGAAAAACTGACTTTCCTGCTCCGCTTTTGTTTAAAAATAAATTCAAATTTTTCGGGACATCAAAAACCCATCTTTCAAATTAATATGAATATGACACTATTTTACTCAAATTAAAGGAGGCCAAACACCAAAAAAAGTTTTCCTGATATTTTGCATAGAGAACCCCCATGAGGGGTTGAACTCATGACAGGCAGCTTAGGGGTACAGCGCTGCTACCGGCTGAGCTACGGGGGCGCGAAGGCGCATGACGACCGATGGTCTACATAAGCGCGGCGAGATTTCGTCCCCCGAACTGCCCCCGAAATTTTTGCTGTCACGCCTCCTTCAAGCTTTTCATGTAGCATCGTATTTTTTCAATTTTCATGTAATACGTCTTCTCAAAGTTTCACTCCCTCTAAAGAAAACACAAAAATTATATAATCTACTTTTTTGGGGTATTTTTTCTTTCAAAGTTATCTTTGTATCTGTCCACGATGTCGGTCAACTGTGTTTTCTGTCACAAAACCGGATTGGACCTGAAAAATTATGAAAAACGTATCACCTGATACGTTTGTTGAAAAGTCGTAAATTTAATAAAAGGCTTAGATTTCAATTTAATATATTTTTTCTGAAGGTCGACCAATGTTTAGATTTCGTATTTAACAGATCTGGAAAGCATACTGAAAAAAAAACTTTAAAAACGTCAGAAATTTTCAGAATTTCAGAATCTCACATGATCACATTTGTTATTGGGTTTCTTACTTGCTCTGAAAAATAATAACTATGTGAAAGAACTTTCATTAAAATTGTGTAATTAGGTTTTTCGCTGGAATGTTAGTCATACTTCTTGCTCATTCCGGGCTTGTTTTTCAGGTTTTTTTTTCAGTTTCTGCTGAATTTACAAGTCCAAGTAAATATTTAAGAAAAAGATTACTTGTTTCAGAAAAAAAAAATCAAAACAACTTTACTAGTTCTTGTCTTTGAATTGTTTTTTCGTTCTTCATGTAACACCACTTTTTTCAAACTCTTGAGTTAATATTCAGATAATATTCAGATAATAGTTAAAAGAAAGAAAATATGAAAAAGCTCCTTTAACACTTCCTATATCTTTTTTCTTCTACTTTTTTTTTCAAATTCTGTTATTTGTTTCGCTTTCAATACACTCCTAATTAGAGGCCCTATCCTTTCGATTTTTTCAGCCGGAACGTGGCTATTCTCTTTTCACCCATATACGTCATGTGAATGAACCAGTCTCTGATTTCAATCTTTTCATTCTCTTTTTCTCATTTTTCCCCTTTCCTATCTTTCTTGCTAAATCTCCACTAAATGATTCATATTTTCTACTCTTGTCTTCTTCTAGTTAATTTTCACACCTGTCTTTCTATTTTTTTTTACTTGAACAGAAAATCCAAAAATAATATATTGTGTTAAAACCCCCAACCAAACTGTTTTGCATAAGTATTCCGAAAAAATAAAAACGGTTTATCAAATTTCAGTTCAAAAACTTCTATTTTTTAGTTCCGCAATCTAAATTTTCGTAATTTTTTATGTTTTTTATAGTACACAACTATTTTTAATTGTAATTTATTTAATCAGCCTCAGGATATGACCCTCACGAGTCCGAAAATTGAACCAAAAGTTTTCGGAATCGCTAAATTAGCATTGAACTGGAATTCTGCGTATATGGCTCACTTGTTTTCGTTTGTTGGGACTTGTCTGAAACCGGTTTTGGATTTTTGAGGAAAAAAAACTTATTTCCGTTTTCAGACTGTTTTTCTCACTGGAAGCTTTCCTCTAATAGAATCCCCCAAACAGCCTACTTCAAGTCCATAAAGATATCAAAAAGAGATCAACTGACAAAATTTTCATTATAAGTTAATAAATATTTTGTCAGTTGACACCTTTTTGATATCTTTCACAAAAACCGAGAAAAATTAGCTCAAAGTTAGAGTGTTTTACAAAAATCTTGCACCTTGCGCAAGTTGCATTTTTGAACTTTTGACCTTTTTTGAAAATGTTTTGTCCCAGTTCATCAATGTCCAGTAACATGTGCCCATCTAGTTATTAGAACAATTATTTTCACGTGGCCAAAACTTGAAGATCAGTTTTTCCCCTTTCGTCTGCCTAGTCAGCTGATTGGTAACTTGATGGGCCTCCCCCAGGGTGTCATGATTTATCCGCCCTATATTTTCCCTTAAAAGACCCCCAATACCTTTTCTTATATTTCTACAATACCTTTTTCTTATATTTTCTGTATTGTTTTCTATTCATCTCATTGTACCTTTTTCAGAGAACATTTCTATACAAAACACCTTTTTCTCGTTGTTCAGTGTTGTTTATTTATGAACACTGCCACCAGCAACACTGTCAGCAACCACAAAAATGATAGGTATCAGTTTTTTTAGCACACTGTGAAAACTAAAAATGATACTAATTTCAGTTCGGTGTCTTGTCAGTCAGAAATGGAACAGAATTCGGATAACAGTATGAACGAAAAACTGGAAATGTCATCGAAACATGAAAAACACCTCCCAGATGTAAGTCACTATTTCTCTGATATTTTGAAACTAATTTTCAAAAGTTTTTAGGAAAAATGGACCCCTTATTTATTTTTCTGCATATCCTCAATAGCTCTTGCCTCATTCCAAGACGGGTTTCAAATTGGGTGCATCAATGCGCCAGGTCCTTTGATTATTGAATGGATCAAAAAGTGTCATTTTGAACTTTTCGGGGAAGTTTTATCACAGTATCAGGCGGATTTTATTTGGTAATTCATTTTTTCTGGGTTCTCAAAAATTCATAATTTTTAGGTCAGTAGCAGTTTCCATGTTCTCCGTAGGTGGGATGTTTGGAAGTTTCTCGTCTGGTTTTCTGGCAGATAGGGTGAGTTCTTATTTTTTTCATTAGTAAATATTTGAAGCTCTGAAATGTTATTTATGCGAAATGTGTTTCATTTTCTTGATTTTCGACAAATTTCATAGCTTTTCCAAATTTATGAACTTCTTGCTTTTTGTGAAAAAAGCTTTAAAATTCGACGACGAAAAATGGCTCTAATTTCGAAAAACCTAGAAACTTTGAAGAACTTAACGGCATAAGACCCTAATTTCACTTCTGCACGAATACTGGGCCTTTGAATGAAATTTCGGCGGCAAGGGCCTGAATAATACTGGTCATTACCGTAAAACCTGTAATAGAAGGGCTCCCAACTTTCAAATTTGAGCAAATTTATCTAGGTTGCTATCAAGGATATAAAAAGTTGTCAACTGATAAATTTTTTATCATAATATCACAAGCATTTTATTATTTGACACTTTTTCTATATGTTTTATAGGAACCGAGATGTATAGGATCCCACATAGGATCCTGTCTCCTTGCCCTTCTATTACAGTTTTTACGGCATCAAAAAATTCCTTATTTTCAGTTCGGCAGAAAATCCACCCTTCTATATAACAATGTTCTTGCTCTCATTGCTGCCACGTGTCTTTCAACTGCAAAACTCTTCAACCTATACCCAATGATTGTCTTTGGTCGCTTCTTGGTAGGGCTCAATTGTGGAATCACTTCCGGATTAGTACCAATGTATCTGACCGAGCTGGCGCCACCGAATCTTCGTGGAAAGTGCGGATCTTTCCATCAACTGAATATCTCCGTTGCCATCGTGCTTTCACAAGCTCTCGGCCTCCCGTTTATTTTTGGATCTCAAGAAGGATGGCCATACATTTTTGCATGTGTTGCTATTCCGACGTTTTTACAACTAGCCACTATTCCATTCTGTGTCGAATCTCCGAAATATCTAATTTCGAAGTTGAACGATAGAGAAGAAGCAAGAAGGGCTCTTGAGAAGCTTCGGAATCATACAAAAGTGGATGAAGAGTTGGAGCATATGGTTCAGGAGACAATGGTGACTGCTGAGCCAGTACATCAACCGGGATACTTGGCTTTGTTCAAAGGAGAGAATCAGTGGCCAATGATTGTTTCGATTTTGATGATGTTCAGTCAACAGTTCTCCGGGATCAGCGCGGTTACTTTCTACTCAACTCTGATTTTCAAACGAAACGGATTGTCCGGGAACGAGCCAATGTATGCAACAGTCGGATTTGGATGTATCAAACTCATTGCCACCTTTGGATGTCTTGGCCTTATCGATCATCCGAGGTTCGGAAGAAAACGTCTTCACATCGCCGGCCTCTCCGGAATGTGCATCTCATCGATTCTGATTGTTATCACTTTAACATTATCAAATGCTGGATTCCATTGGGCTAGCTATCTGAATGTCCTCTTCATTTTGTCGTTCGTGGTAACATTTGCATTTGGGCCGGGACCAATTCCTTGGTTCTTCACATCTGAACTGTTCGATTCGGCTACACGTGGTCGAGCAGCTGCCGTTTCTGCTACTAGCAACTGGGTAGCAAATTGGATGGTTGGCTTAACATTCCTTCCAATTAATGTGAGTGTTCTTGAAAATATTCAAAGTGAAAAAAAATGGTTTTTAGAACATAATACACCAGTATGCCTTCCTGATGTTCACATTCTTCACGTTCACTTTTGCCGTCTTCACCTGGAAGTTCGTTCCGGAGACAAAAGGAAAAACGCCTTCTGCAATTCGAAAAGAATTGATTTTCATGAGGAAACGAATGTGTTCATAGAGAAAAAAGATTGTTTTTCGAAGCTTTAATTTTTGTTTTCACAAAGTTGATAAACATTTTTACAATTTTCAATAACTTTAGCAGATACAATTTCAAAGACTCAAAAATGGAGAATTGATGGAATTTTTAAAAAAAGAAGTGGGAAAATTGGATTCTGAAAATGAGCTATTTGAATAATTGAAAAGTTAGAAGACTAGTAGCAAGCAGAGTTTTTAGAATCTGTTGTTTCGTAATTGGCCATTAAACCAAATTTTCACATACTCATCCCAGCAAAACCTCAAAAAACACAAAAGTTCATTTAAACACAAACTACGAAAATTGAATCATTTTTCATGCTAACAAAAATATGACGCGAATTCATTAGACCGTAGTAGCTCTAATTTGAAAAACAAGTTCCGAGTTTTTCGGTGTCTGTTGTACTGGTTTTGGGCACCATAACCTATAAAAATGATCCCGATAGTCCTTACTTCTCCACATTGTGATATAAAATGTGTTACAGTAGGATAAACAGACAAATAAAGACTGAAAATTGGAATTTTTCTGGAATCAACTTTAGCTTTTTTGGGCTTACGTCATGAACTATAATGATTCCGAGAAGATCTGAAAGTTCGCTAGCTTTCAGTATAACAAGTCCAAAAACTTGGCTGAAAAACCAGGTGAAAATAAAAATTACTACAGTAATCTGTAGACGTTTCATGGTTTTCAGAGAGCTCATTTGACCAGTATGAGTACGACTTTTTAAATGAAATGTGTGTAATAAAATGATATATAAGATTAGTATAATATTAGCCAGAAATATGTATAAGTATTTGTAAAATATGCTGACTTCTAAACCGAGAGCGGTTTTTGGAGAACAAGAAAATATGATATCATCGTTGGTGGCTAGAAATCCATAGAATGTGGTGAAAATCGAGAAAATAAAAGTTGGGAAAACGGTGAACGCGATATAAGTTGCTGTGGAAAGGTTACGATAGCTGAAATTTTCAAATAATATTTTTAATTGCAACCGCGCTCTGATGGCTTTCATTTCAAATTTTAAACAGTCGTGCTACTCACATCAATGGAAACTTCACAAGAACCAAAATATCCAAAACTATAATAAGCATGAGCAATCCTTGCGCGGCTTGAAAAAATACATAAAACGCAATTTGGTCATAACATTCACTTCTTATATGGGTATTTCCCACATTGAAAACTTCATTCATCAAAGTTCCAGCTGAACAGAACAAATGGAAAAAGCACTGAAAACATTGTAGGATCGCTGAAAATTTGGAAAAATTGAAATTCCAGAAATTTTAAGAAATTTAGTAATAAGGAAATCTAGAATTTCTAGAATAAGGAAATCCAGAATTTCTTCGACATTTTAAGATATTTCAGAAATTTATTCGAGTCAACTATTGGAATAGATAATACCAGAAGTTCAAAGAAATTCCGGGAAATTCAGTAAACAAAAATTATCATTATCAGATATTTTTGAAATTCCAATATTTCCAGGAAATTCGAATAAAAAATGGAACTCACAAGTTCTACACTGAAGGGCTTTCCGTTTATAAACCAAATGAATAAATAGCGAATTTCCAATTGTTCCAAAAATGAAAAATATAATTTTATAAGTTGCACTGATATAAACATTCAAAAGACGAGCGTCCATATCAGAATAGTATATGAAAATGAATACATGTGTGCCCAAATGAGCTCAAAAATGCATTCTAGTGGAAAATGAACTTTTCTTATCTTTTAGTTTGAATTTTTGGTTTATTTTTGAGCAGTCTGATGAGAAAAATCAAAAAGCAAACATTTCCAAATACCGTAGATCTCTAGTAAACTTCTAAATTCCAAATTTTTCAAATTTTTTTAAACAGAATGTTTGTATTATATTTCATATTATATTTCATTTCCAGAAATGTGTAAATTGAATTTCCCATTAGAAACCTTGAAAAATAAACGTAATATTATCTTTTTGTGAATATTTTTCTTGGTAAATGCATTTACCTAGGTAAATGTTCATTAATACGGCCTCGGTGTTCATTGATTCATAACTCTGTTCAAAATGCTCCAATTTTCGTAAAATTTTGTGAAAGTGATAGATGAAGTTTTCAGTAAGATAGCAGATAATTTTTTCTCTAAAACGTCTGCTGGTGGCTGCGCATAGCGAACATAAATGAAGCCCACACCTCTGGAAATTGGCTGGTAATGAAAATTTAGTTTGATTTTATGAAAAAATCTATGAAAATAGAGCGAAAAATGGGCAAATAATTCGGAAGGTACAACGATTCGGGGGTACAAGGGGGTACAAAGTGATTTAGGGGTACAAAATACACAATTCGGGGGTACAAAATTAAGCCTATTTCAAGTATTTCGTACCCCTGAATTGGAGATTTTGCACCCCTAAATTGCTTTGTACCCCAATAACCCCTAAATTTTTGTACCCTCCGAATTATTTGCCCGAAAAATGACAAAAAAAAAAACTTGACATCTCCTTCTAGAAATCATAAATCCAAACATCGTGCCGTTTTTTGAGGTCAAAATATTACTTTGCGTGCGAAACATCATAACTGACGCGCAACAGTAACAAGGGAACCACAACACCTCCGAGTTATTTCAGTCCAAAGTTTTAGTACTGAATTCAGTTGATTTGCATGCTTTACCACACTTTCCCTCTCCAAATTCCCTACGAAATTAGTCTAGAGATTGCCTAACATCTAAAAGCTTTTTGAACGTAGTGATAATGTCGGCAGCGTGGCACAGGTGATTCGCGCAGCGTCTATAACAGGTGAAATATTGTTTGCGAAAAATCGCCATGGGTACATCGGAACATGTCTGCCGCAGGCCATTTACAGACCAATCGCGAAAGCGCCACCGCAAACGGCCAATATTCGGCCTATCGAGAGCGAATCTTCTACAATTGGCTTGCCGCGAGAGCAATAATTACCATATATTTTTTCGAATTTGGAAGCTAGCGGCTGCTTGAAAATGATTTATTAAACGGAAAAAACAATGAAAAACACAAAAAATGTAATCAAAAATTGTATTTTTCCCTTCCAATGTAGTCGTGTTGGCTGGAGCGGCGCCGGAGCTTTCGTTTCGTCCGTTTTCGCCTTTTTCGATGACGATCCAGGGGAGAAAAAGACGAAGAAGACGCTGTAGGATAACGGCTAGGGAACTGAAACAATTCATATAGATTTTATAGCCTTCACTAGTTTCTGTACTGTACCTCAGATAGAAGATATGGAATTTTTTTTCGAAATCCACAAATTCCTCATTTCCGAATTCTTTATCATCGCCACCTGAATTTAAAGTTTTTAAAAAGAATTTTTAATCAAATCTACTCACTGCTAGTTCAAGCTTTCCTTCTTTCCTCTTTCTTAGGTTTTGCATTTCTGGAGTATCCGATAGCCGGGAAAATTAGGACTTTCCGGCTCCCTGTAATAATTAGATTGAAAATCTGGAATTTCTGGTCGATTCTTACATTTATACAGTTAAGTAACACTTTCATCTCTAGATTTTTTAGAAGTTCCCACTTCTAATTTCCAACTTCTGGTTTTCGGCCAATTTTCCTCTTTTTCTGAAAATAAAAACGAGAAATACATGCTTATACAGTATTCTAGTATATTTTCATGTGTTTAACAATGATTTACGGACAAAAACTGCATCGAAAACGGCGAAAAACAAAGTAAAATACCTAAAATAGGGAAAGGAAGTCCGCAAAATAGAAAACAAGAATTTTTTCGCGATTGGTCATTTATTGTCCTTTTATAGGGCCAGTCGCGATGATACGCAGGTTGCTCGCGAATGTTCAATTGTAGTAATATAAATAAGTTTTCGACTTGTCTGAAGAAATCAGAGTAAACTAAACAAAACAAGATCTTCAATTTTGTGAACGTTTTTTTAGTCCAGTGTCTAAAATTTTCAGACAAATTTAAACTTATAGACTACTTTCCCAGTACTATAAAGTTGTCTATTATTCACTGAAAAAATTAAATTATGATTTTAAAAAGTTTTCAGGTGTTCTTTCTCTGCTTATCCTATAGCAACACATTCTACGTCACCTTGCTCAAAAGCAAAGAGTATAGAGATCAATTTTGTAGTTTGTGGTGTCTACGAAAATCCACGTCTTCTGGAATTGCAATTGTGAATTCTCAATCGATGTCACAAAAATACATTAGCCCGGAAATAAAGCTACAGAAGAGAAATGAGACTTGGTAATCTCTGGAGTTCCGAATTTTTGGAAAAAAAAACCTTTTTTTGATCTTCTAATTTTTTATCTTTCAATTTTTGACCTTTTGATTTTCAAATAAAATAAAAATGTTTTTGATTGTTCATGACTTTCTCCAAATGTGAAAATTTTTAAGTTAACTATCAAATCCCAGTCTTACAAGGGAACCACAACACCTCGTCAATTCAGATTGTGATGAAAATTTCAGGATATGTCAAGGATAGCCTATCTAGATACCCCTAAAATTTTTAGAACACGCTGTTTCAGCCGAGTTATATCAGTTTCAGTACCAAAAATCGCATCTTCAGTGCAAAAATAGCGATGTTCAAAGTCGATTTTCTCTATCTCTGTAATTGGTTAATCACGAATCACCTGTGTGGTGTCGGGGATGTGTGCTGGCGCCAGTGGGCACGGAGCGTTAGTTCGTTCCCTCTTGTGGTTTTTTCTTTTGTTTTCTTTTTTGCCTGATTTTGCGACGTTATTGGATCCTTTTGGATCAATAAAAACTTACAATTAGAACATTCACCAAGAAGACGTGGATTTTCGTAGACACCACAAACTACAAAATTGATCTCTATACTCTTTGCTTTTGAGCAAGGTGACGTAGAATGTGTTGCTATAGGATAAGCAGAGAAAGAGCACCTGAAAACTTTTTAAAATCATAATTTAATTTTTTCAGTGAATAATAGACAACTTTATAGTACTGGGAAAGTAGTCTATAAGTTTAAATTTGTCTGAAAATTTTAGACACTGGACTAAAAAAACGTTCACAAAATTGAAGATCTTGTTTTGTTTAGTTTACTCTGATTTCTTCAGACAAGTCGAAAACTTATTTATATTACTTTTCAAAGTATATTTTGGGATACTCACATTATGCACCAAAAGCATTCCAAGCCATTTCGGATAATTTGAAATTTCTAGAATAACCAAACCAAGCACCTGACTAACGAACCAAGATAAGAAAAATATCAAAACGGTCAGTTGGAGTCGTATAATAGTTTTCTTGAAGCTCATATGACTAGTAGTGTATATGTTTCGAGTTTTGAAGGATCTTATAATTATACAGTATATAATTATGATAATTAACGCCAGACCTATAAATAGGTACTTGTAGAGGACACCAGCTTTGGGTCCGAATGCAAATGGAGGAGAACAGGAGTATATTGTATCATCGTTTGTTGTAAAAAATCCATAGAGAGTAGTGAAAATTGAAAAGGTCAAAATTGTAATTCCGGAGAAGATGATCGATTTTGTTTTGGAGATGTTTCGGTACCTGTAAAAGCGAAAATTGTTATTGGAGATTAAATTTTAGAAACGAGTAATTTCCAGGAAATTCAGGAAATGAGAAATTCGAAACGATTGCAAATTCAGAAACTCCAAAACTTACACAATCGGAAACTTGACAAAAAACCAAATATCCATCACTATAACAAGCATGAGCAATCCTTGAGCTGCTTGAAAAAACACATAATATGAGATTTGATTGAAACATTCACTTCTGATATGAGTGTCTCCGATGTCAATTACGCCGTATTGTACAGTACCAATCGAGCAGAAAATGTGGAAAAAGCATTGGATGCATTGGAAAATGGCTGTAAATATTGAATGTAACTTTCAAAAAAAAACATCTAATACATCAAATTTTTCAGAAACTAATATTAAATTCTCTTAAAAATTCAAAACATTTCATTTCTAAAAATTTAAAGATCAAAAAAAAACTCACAAGTCCTTGACTGTAATTGTTTCCTTCTGTAGATCAAATGAATAAACATCAAATTTCCAACTATTCCAAAAATGCACAAAATGACTTTATAAATGGCAGCGACATAAAGATTTGTGAGTCGAGAATCCATCTGAAAATTATAAAAATTTTTTACATATTGAAAATTAAAATATTCTTGACAAAAAAATGTTAAAGTCTCGAAAAGTCTCAAAAAATACAATTTTTGAAAAATTGAAAACCAGAAATTTAAATAAAAATTTCAGCAAACTTTGATACGACAAAATAATGTAAAAGTCCAAAAACTTTCGAAAAACAAAAAAAAGATGAGCAATGGTCTTTGAAGCTGAAAATCAAAGTCTGTCTACTGCTTTCAAACTTTTCCGTGTGATCTTGTGATTTTTCGTTTTCTAGTGTTTACATGGGAAGTAAAAATAATGAGTTCACACAAAAAATTTCCTTGTCTAACAACATCAAAGTTTTATGAAACTTTTGGTTTTTTTTCATCACAAATTATACAAACTTTTTTTTTAACTTCCTGAAAAGAAAATTAATGACAGACAGGTGGAAAAATGTGTGATTTGTCCCGGAAAGTTCAAATTTGGTGTATTTGAACTAAGTTTAATTAGATTTCCCGAAATTTGGGTTCAACAAATTACCGTAATAGTTTTGCAGAATGGTTAATAATGAGCAATCAGGATTGTTTTTTGAACAGCTGAATTAGTGGATCAAACCAAATTAGACGATCTGGAAAACAATTCTTGGAACATGAAAAATCAAGAAATTTGAGGAATAAAATTTACAAAAGATTATATTAGTTCATCTGAGTTTTCATAATTTACCAGATGTAATTTTGGAATTTGTAGGAAAATTTTAAGAATTTGGACAGCAAATTTTGATCCTCTAAAACTCTGGAAATGTCCGAGCTCCTGACTTTCCGCATTTCTGAATTTTGGAGATTCTGAGTTTCTGAGATTCTGAGATCCTAAGATTCTGGGATTCTGTGATTCGGAGATTCTGAGATTCTGAGATTCTGAGATTCTGAGATTCTGAATTTCCGAATTTCTGGATTTCTAAATTTCCGAACACTTGTATTTCTGAGTTAAAAAATTTTTTACTTTCCTTTTTCTGAAATTCTCAAATTCAAGAATTTAAATATTCTGAAGTTCCGAATTTCTGTATTTTGGTATTCCTGCATTTCTAAATTTCTTAATATCTAGTCTTATAGAGGTTCTGGATTTCCGAATTTCTGAATTTCCTGTTGTTTTCTGTGTGCCAATTGTACATGTTGTGCTAATTGTATCTGATAAGAAATATTTTCAGACGCACCAAAAGTTCATTGTCATCTTTTTTTTAATGGAAAAATTTTCCATATTTCTTTTTGATCTTGTGGTGTAATATTTAGCGACAACGCCTTACCATAAAAACCACGATGACATCAAATATTCTTATCAAAAGGGACTTTTGTATTCAAATAATGATTTCCCGAACCGATAAGAGTATAAAAGAAAAAGCGAGCTACCCAAAAAATTATCGATGAAATGACGATTTTCATTGTTCTGCTTTCTGCGTTTTTGGCCTCAGCCTCCGCAGACGGTTATTCCTGTACTGGAAGTCATACGATCAACCCACCTGCAGATCTAACTAAGCCATACTACTACCCAGAAGGATGGACAGAATCCCAGGAGCCCGCGACGTACGCCGGTGGTCAGACGTGCAATTGGAAAATAAATGTGCCCCAGGGAATGTTTGCAACAGTAACCTACTATAAGAAAACTGCGTCAGAGTCTGGAATCACTTGCTTGTATCCAAATGGTTATGAACAATTGTGAGTGTTTGAATACAAATGGATTCGCACAGATTCAGATAAATTCAAATAAATTTAAATTACTAATTACAAATTTCCAGCATCGAGGACCAAGACCAAAACCCATACATCTTCACGAGTCCCCAATTCCAAGTAAACCTTAAGGTCTCTGATGACAGTGGAGAATTCTCCTTCAAAGTTGTTTGGACTAAATGTGAGTTTCCGCTGGAATATCTCAATTTCTGTGAAAAGTATATGTCAACTTTTGAATTGGAATCATATTGTGCTCAACATGCAAAATAGTATTAATAATTTTATCAACATTTTCAGACCCGGGAGCCTGTCAAGTCAACAATCAACTAACCGACACTCGAGCGTCAGCATCATCTCCATCTCCGTGTATAACCACTTACACCTCACCGAATCGCGTGGTTCTTGTTGGATTCTCCTTGAAAGACGATAAATATCCGCTACTCCGACAGTCGGCAATTTATGATGGTGACTCTGTAAACAGTTCATATTTGGGAAACTTGGCAACAGCTAGATATCAAATTGTGGCCACTGGAAACAAGTTGACAATTCACACATTTGGATTAAGTGCGGTGTTCAATTATACACTGTTCATGGGAATGGACACTAATGGTTAGTAATATAAGATTGTAGTCAAATTTGAAGTCCTGTCTGAAAATTCATTTTCATAAAATTCGAAAATTTCCATTTTTTAGCCCTTGGAGATGTTCAACAAATCACTGGAGTAAACCCGCCATACGACTCGAGATTCGCATACTATTTGTACTTGAATTCTGAAGAAAAAGTCTCTGCGATCGCTACAATTGGAAGAGATCCAGACTATCTGGAGCAGATTCGAGAGTTTCCGGGTGGAGCAAATTTGAGAGTTTACGAAGAACAAATCAGTGATAGCAACTTGATGGCTACAATTAAGTGAGTGTTAAAATCAGAAATTCTAAAGTTTAGGAATCAAAAAAAAAACAAAAGGTTCTAATAAATTTCCATTTTAAGCCAGTACAACTTCCAAAAACAATTGCCATTGGAAGTCAAAACGTCTCTGAAAATCTACAAGTTGGACGGTGGAAAAGTCTACATCCCAATGACCAAAAATGCAAGTGAAGGTAATTATTCAACTAATTATCGCTAATTAAAGAATAATTTTTTCAGCAAATTGGAATACTGTATTCGATGGTCGATTTGTGAATGTTCATTCTTTGGATTATAGAAGGACCAGCTATACTCAGGACACTTTTGAGACTTTCCAAATTGCGCCTAATTCGATAAAATTGTATTTCAAGTTCAATGTGGTTAAATTTGACACCCAAGGTGGACCAACTACACTTGCTATCACAATTTACAAAGATGGATATACAGTGTATTCCGATACGTAAGTTAAAAAAAATAATTGATTATTTGACAGAGAAATTTCAGTTTTTCTAAAAACCATTTACCACCACCCAATACTATCAAAATTCTCGGAGATATGATGACAATTCAATACCAAACACATGGAACTTATACAAAAGGATTCGAAGTCGATCTGGTGACTTCTAGAAATTCAAACTAATTTTCTTGTTTTTAATTGCATTATTTTTTCTTCCGCATAAATTTTTTTCCAGCATTATTTTTCGAATTTCAGACATTGTGAATAGAGAACCTGATCGGAAACGTGGATATTGAAAAAGTAGACCCTCCCACTTCAAGTTCAATGTGGTTAAAGGACTCTAGTCGGTCCGTCTGGTCATTTTACTTTTTTATTTGTACAGGTCCCATTTCTTGCCAAATTATCTATCGATTTCCCCCATGCATTGCAAATAAATATATTATTATTATTATTATTATTATTATTAGACAAAGAATCTCGAAATGTTGAAAAATGTAACTCGGCTGAAAAGTCTGAAAATTGAGAAAATCGGAATTTCAGAATTTCGTTTTCCAAATTTTCATTTCCGAATTTCAGAATTCAAATCTCGAATTTTTAAGCTTTTCAGTTTTTCAATTCTTGAAGGTTTTCATTTTCGAATTTCCAAATTTGTGAATTTCTGTACTTCTGAATTTCGGAACATCAGAATCCCGGATTTTCGTAAGTTCTAAATATCAGCATTTCAGAATTTCTGATTCTTGGAGTTTTTGAAATTCGGAAAGTTAGAATTTTCGAGTTTTAGAACTCTGAACTCATAAAATTTCTGAATTTCTGAGTTTCTGATCTGTTTGCCAATTGTACACGGTGTGATTATTGTATTTGATAATTTGGAAAAACAGATAAGAACCGTTTTAGGTGTACCAAAAGTTCATTATTGTCATCTTCTTGGATTGAATTGGAAAAAACGCCAAAAATTATGTTGTGCTTTTCAAAAATGATAATCTGATGGAAATTGATGTAATGATCAGATTTGAAAAATCGTTCAAATTTTAAATTTCGGCCGAAATTCAAAAAAACAATACATTCAGATCCACTGGGATCTTCAACAGCCAACACCAGTGAAAATTCGCTGCTACGCCGCGATTTCCACTGGCTTCAGTTTAAATTCAAAAAGTTCCAATTATCATTTTATTCTTTGAAAATTTATTAGTAGAACAATTGATTAGAAGAACAATTCTAAAACTATCAAAAAGGGAAAAGATCAACAGTTTAATTCCTAGAAAAGGATAGTTACGAAAAATGGCTGTGGGTTGAAAAATTTAAGCTAGAAATGGAGCTACAGGATGGTTTTGTAAACAATGTTATGCATGACTTTTTCTGGAGCCCAAACTCTGATTCCATCCTTAGTTCTTGTTCTTGTCAATGCAACATATAGCTGTCCATGAGCAAAAATCGGAGCGTCCAGAAGCAGTCCGATACGATCGAATGTTTGGCCTTGGGCCTTATTGACGGTCATAGCAAAGGCAGGTCTTACTGGGAACTGACGTCTTTGGAGCACGAATGGAATCCCCGAATCGAATGATAGTTTGATTCTTGGAATCAAAACGTCTCCACCTTCATTTGGTCCCGAAATAAAAGCGCATCTGAGAACCCGCTCTCCCATTTCTCGAACAACCAATCGTGTACCATTGCACAGTCTGTTCAAGGATTCGGAGGAGCATGACCAATGCACCAACTTTCAGCTCCAATTTGTGTGGTGGTAATCCTGATGGAGTCATTTTATTCAAAAATTCTTTTGGAAAGTTGGCAGCATCGGAGTGACTATTTTGGTTGTCTCCGACCTCATCAACACTGAAATACGTCTTCATCTCTCCTGGAACCATTTCCATCACTTTTTGATTCATTTGAAGTGCTTGTTGGTTGGTTGGAGAAAGAGAATGGCCACTTTGGAGATTTCAAAAACATCAGACCCGTTTCGAAGTAAAGATCCAAAGATTTCCTTGGCCAAATCTCCATCGCATCTGAGATCTTCTGGAACTTCCATGACTCCAGTCCCCTCTTCTCTTTTCAGACCATCGCCAACCCCAAGAAGGAAACTGAAAAAATCAGATTGAAAATTATAAATTAAATATCTAATTTTTTACCTTTTCCATTCTTCATCAGCATTTTGGGCACGCATGTTGGTCTTCAAATGGTAGACTTGAAAAAGGGGCCAAAGATGAGAACTTTTGATGGAAATTTGCTCATCTCTTCCTTTTCTGTCCACAACTGGAAGGCACTGTCGGAAGTCGCCTCCAAGGATGATCACTTTTCCACCAAATGGTTCATCGATTTTGGTGACATCACGGAAAAGCTGATCCACTGTTTCAAGTGACGATTTGGGGCTCATAGGAGCTTCATCCCAAAATACGATATCAAGTTCGGCGAGGTATTTGGCTTTGGCGGATTGAAAATGGATGGTGGAGGTCTTACATCCATCCTTGATGTTAAGATGGAACAAAGAAGCCACCGTTCTTCCATGAGGCAATAGAGATGCAGCGATCCCAATTCACGCAATTGGGATGACTTTCAGATGCATACCTTGGAGGATGTTGATGAGAGTAAGGTATACAATGTTTTGCCGCTTCCTCCTGGTCCATCCACGTAAATAAGACCTCCTCCACTTTTCACAGCATCCAAAACTGCCTTCACAACTTCTTCTTGTTCTGCTACCAACGTTGATCTCATCCTATCTCCTTCTTTTGAGCAGTAATCAAAATCAATGACGTCGTCCGGAATGATTCTCTCGTATCCAAGGCTCATCCATTTATCCAGCTTTTCTCCCATAGCATTCATTCTATCAATAAGATCATTATAAGCAAGAGCTTCGGCTTTTTCTTTTGGGAAGTGCTTGTATAAAAAGTCTTCTGAGAAGTCATCCACAAATCTGAAAAATGTTGATTTTCAAAATAGAAATTTTTTTAATTTCTCACCTGTACCATAACTCTTCAGCATTATGAATTTCCCCAAACATCAGCAGAGTGACGAAGAATCCTCTCAGTTGTGGTGCAGAATGAAATGACGCTGCTTCTTCCAACGACTTTTCATAGAAAATGTCCTCAGTCAAGTATCCGGCAGCTTTAGCAGCATCCACAAATTTTTCATAAAAGACACCTCCAACGGTTTGCAAATCTTCATAAGATTTGGCATCAGTGATGTTTAGGAGCATGACTCTCAATGCGAATCTTTCCTGATCTCTCGGAGACACGAAATGCATTCTTCCGATCGATCGTGTAGCATTTTTTCTAAGAGTCCATTTTCCTTTGGTGAATTGGAAATGTTCTGGCATCTCAACATTATAGATACCTCGGCAGTCCACAACGTCTTCTGGAATCATTTCAGTCGATTCAAGCTCATCATGTCATCTTTTGTTTGCAGCAAACCACGCTGTTAGTGTTGTTTCTCGGAGCTGTCCTCTCTCTGCTGCATCTTTTCTTCTCCTTCTTTATAAACGACTCCTTGGGCATTCTTCAGATGCACTTTGAGCTGCATTACTGGGGTGCTTCTGTCGGACATTCGGAAGTCGAAGATATGCCAAAGAGACTCTGGAGCACAGACGTATCGACCATCCAAGTAGCTGTTGACCTCATTCTCCGTCCTGTGCTCGACTCCATTTTTATCAGTGTAGATGATTTGTAAAGGTATTTAACTGCTCCGACGTTCCCACGAATTTCCAAATTCGCATGACTTCTGAACTTTCTGGAGAGGTACTTGTTGTATGGGACCACACTTCTATTGTCCAGTTTAACAACTCCAGAATTTTTCGTTTGCCTAGAAATGTTTAGAAAGTTCAGGAATTTTCTAGAATGTTCTGGAATTTTCTAGAATGTTCTGGAATTTTCGAGAATATTCTGGAATTTTCTAGAATTTTCTCGAATTTTCGAGAAAGTTCTGGAAGTTTTCGAGAATTTTCTGGAATTTTCTAGAATGATCTGTAATTTTCGAGAAAGTTCTGAAATTTTCTAGAATGTTCTGGAATTTTCGAGAAAGTTCTGGAATTTTCGAGAATTTTCGAGATTGTTCTGGAATTTTCGAGGAAATTCTGGAATTTTCTAGGATGTTCTGTAATTTTCGAGAATTTTCTGGAATTTTCTAGAATGATCTGTAATTTTCGAGAAAGTTCTGAAATTTTCTAGAATGATCTGTAATTTTCGAGAAAGTTCTGAAATTTTCTAGAATGTTCTGAAATTTTCGAGAAAGTTCTGGAATTTTCGAGAATTTTCTGGAATTTTCGAGAATTTTCGAGATTGTTCTGGAATTTTCGAGGAAATTCTGGAATTTTCTAGGATGTTCTGTAATTTTCGAGAATTTTCTGGAATTTTCTAGAATGTTCTGGAATTTTCTAGAATTTTCTGGAATTTTCTAGAATGATCTGTAATTTTCGAGAAAGTTCTGAAATTTTCTAGAATGATCTGTAATTTTCGAGAAAGTTCTGAAATTTTCTAGAATGTTCTGAAATTTTCGAGAAAGTTCTGGAATTTTCGAGAATTTTCTGGAATTTTCGAGAATTTTCGAGATTGTTCTGGAATTTTCGAGGAAATTCTGGAATTTTCTAGGTGTTCTGTAATTTTCGAGAATTTTCTGGAATTTTCTAGAATGATCTGTAATTTTCGAGAAAGTTCTGAAATTTTCTAGAATGATCTGTAATTTTCGAGAAAGTTCTGAAATTTTCTAGAATGTTCTGAAATTTTCGAGAAAGTTCTGGAATTTTCGAGAATTTTCTGGAATTTTCGAGAATTTTCGAGATTGTTCTGGAATTTTCGAGGAAATTCTGGAATTTTCTAGGATGTTCTGTAATTTTCGAGAATTTTCTGGAATTTTCTAGAATGTTCTGGAATTTTCTAGAATGTTCTGGAATTTTCTAGAAAGTTCTGGAATTTTCTAGAATGTTCTGGAATTTTCTAGAATGTTCTGGAATTTTCTAGAATGTTCTGGAATTTTCTAGAATTTTCTGGAATGATGTAGAGCTTTCGAGAGTATTCTAAACTGTCCTGGAATTCTCTAGAATGTTTTGCAGTCGAAAAAAACACGGCAACCAAATTTACAGTAAGTCACAGAATTTGAGTTAATCACGAAAAAAATGTTACAAAAAATTTCTGTTGAAGCTTTCAGCTCAATTTTTTGTGGGCAGCACCTAGATAGGCCTGAAAACCGTTTTTGAGAATTCTCTGAAGTTTTAGTGAGTTTCAACATAATTTTGAAATTTTCGATTCTCAACCCTATAGGTTCCCGATTAGCTAGAAGGCCCAGGACACCATGGACATAAAGCGCTCGGTAGTCCATGGCTACATACCACACACCATTATAGGAGCCCCATGCCCTTTGGAGTTATTCAAGAAAATGTTTATTTTTTTCATTTTAATAAGAATTCGATAAAACTTACCGCAAAATTTTTCCCGAATTTCTACTAGATTTTCGAAAGTCGTGGGAACTTATTCTCGAAATTTCTGGTTATTAGTCTACTACACATTTCTGCAAAATATGACATATGTACTTTTTCTGACATTTTTTTCAAATTTTTCAAGGCAGATGTCTACCAATTTTCATTTCGGTTCAGTTAAAGTCCTGTTTTTCTTTTCTTTTTCTAGAAATTTCCTTTTTTTTAAAGAAATTCAGAATTCAGAATAGAAGTAACCAGAAACTATGATTTTTTCTGAAATGTTTGTTGTAAAATTTAGAAATTCCGATTCTAGATTTTGGAAAAAAAGTCAAACATTTTCAAAAAAAAAAAAACCACTCGGGGTTTCTTGACGACTTTCTGCGGCAGTTCTGCTGACTTCTTTATGAACATTTATAGAAACTCGACAGAATTGCTACATAAAGGTGACGCAAGCGGCTGCCGCGCTAGCGTTCACTTCCTTCCTTTCTCTTCACTCGTATTAAAAAACAACACATTTAAATTAGCATTTTATCGAAGTTATAAAAAAGTACAATTGAAACAATATATATATATATGCATTTAGGTACATGTTATTGGAAGTTCGATTAAGTTTTTCGGTTTTTCGATTAAGTTTTTCGATTAAGTCATATTTTGGTCCAAATATTCCGCAGGATCCGAAAAAATTCAAATTTAAAAAATCGTGTTTCCATAGTTTCTTCATTTTAGTTCCTTTGAAATTCTGTATATATTCCATATGAACATCAAACTGAAAAATTTTTTGATGTTTTACTAACCGAAAAAGCTTCAATTACCTGTCTTCCTGTTTTATTTGAGTATGCCGATTAAAAAACTTAAAACCAAACTTTGCATTTCAATTTTCCTGGAATCTGTTCCTTATATAATCATCAAGTATTATATATTTTGTGAAATTTCGAGATTTTCTTGGTTGCTCAACAGTTTTCGTTATCCTTTAGAATCTTCCGAAACATAAAAAATATCGGCATCAATCAAATAATTTCTTCTTATTTTAGTTCCATTTTCTCTGAAATATTCGTCTGAAATATTGAGATTAATTCTAACCTAATAACCTTTGTGAAAACTATCTTTCCGATGACTCGTTTTCCTCAACTCTCCTCGACGCACGCCAAACAATTTGTGAAAAACGTGGAACGGCGATTGCTGGCGCTTTTCTCGTGCATCGAGAAAAGAGAAAAATTCAAAAAGTTCAAAAGAAATTAATTTGTTCGTGAACCGACATATGGATGGATTTGAGACTCTAGGCATCACTTTTCCCCTCAAATTTCTCTCTTCTAGGTCATTCCACGTCGTACCAACCCAAAAATGGCACGCCAATAGCACGCCAAATAAAAATGCAGCAAATTTTGAACAAAAATAATAATTTTCCCTCAAATCTACAGTAATCCGACTGCTTCAAATCCTATCAGGGGTCTCAATTCTAAATTTATGGGTTGATTTTAATATCAGCAAATTTCTCGTAAAATTCTGGACAAATCCTACCTATTTTTATTAAGAATGGTTCGACAGATTTTTTGAAAACTTTCAAAAACTTTCAAAAATGACAAAATTCAGTTGATTTTTTAGAAAATCTATCAGGGCTTTTATTTTTAGGCCAAATCAGACGTTTTTTAGATCATTTGATCGCAAAATTCGTAAAAAAAAACAATGAAATTTTAGTGACAAATTTGAAAAACGAAAGGACATAAATTACCAGTTAATTTCACCGGCAGTCATCAAAAACGAAAAATCGCACGCTTTGCGATCACGCAACGCGCTTAAACTGCTGCAGAAAGTCGAGAGATGCCTCATAATGCTGCAGAAAGTCGAGAGAACCTTCAAACTGCTGCAGAAAGTCGCAAGGAAATCCCGAGCAGGAAGTTCAATAATTTTCAACTTCCTGTTTGTCAGATCTCTGCCCTAAAATTTCACTTTTCCTCCGGAACCAAAAAAATCATATTTTCCCAACCAGAACATTTTTTCACGCTCCCACAGTCTAATCAATTATACTAGAATTTTTCTGTCGCTGATCACACAAAATTGAACACATTGAACCACAAAGTTTAGAATTTTGGTGTCATTTTTTTGTTTTAAATTTTTTTAAATCAATTTTTTTTGAAAATTCAGAATTTCAACAGTTTCAAGTTTTGAGACAATTTTTAAAAAAATTTTCTTCAACTTTTTAAACCGAAAATTCAGATCTGACATCTGAAACTCTTGATATTCTTCAAAGATAAAAATCCGATTTCTGATTTTTTGTCTGGACCATCTAAACATCCTAATTCGATATTCTCAGTGTAGCTAGATATTCTTTTAGGCTACAATTGAAATAATTATAAACTGTCATCAACAATTCTTCTGAAGAATAGAAAAAAAAATTCTGCATTTTACCGGAAATGAAACTGGCGTGTTTAGTGTGTCTGCTTAATTGGAAATTCTGAAATAATTGGCTAGGAATGGCTAAAATGAACATTGCTTAGCTATTTAAAGAAGACATTGGAAGTCCGAAGATCTGTTTTCCTGGGGAAATTGTTTAAAAAACACATTTTTAGGGAAATTCCAGAAATTCGAAAACATGAAAATTCGAATGATTTTGATTTGTAAATCTGAAATTCCGAAATTCAGGAATGTTGGAATTCAGAAACTCTGATATTCTGAGATTCTGAGATTCCGAGATTCTGAGATTCTGAGATTCTGAAATTCTGAAATTCGGAAATTCTGAAATTCTGAATTTCCTAACAATTTAAGAAGTAATTAGATTCGTATTGAATCTAATACTTTATTTTCTGTTGTGGCTGTTTTTGACATTTTCTCATATTATACACTTTTTGCATGATACTTTTTGTTTTTTTCTTTTAAAAAATGTATTAATATTTTGTCACTTTTTCTGAGAAGCTAGAACCTTCTGTAACCAGGAAATTTCATTAATTATTTTTCAAAATTGTCACTTCAACAAAAAAAAAATTTCCAGGCTCCGAAAAAATGTCTCAGCAACTTTCTTACCGTTCAATCATGGGACTCTCAGAATACAAAAATTTCGAATTCGAAGACAATTGGATATTCTACACAGTCTGTGCAATGATCGCTACAGTATCCTCCCAATATTCATTTTTATGAGAATCGCATTTTTATTTTTCACCAAAAAGAAGCAAATCCAAAAAACCGGACTTCGAATGGAAATTATTCACTCTTTTTTGTTGATGCAATTTACGAATATTTTGCTCGTCATCGCTGATTTTCTCATGTTTCGCATTCCATACACAACCATTTTCACCCAATTTTGTGCATCTGAAAATCCACAAACATTGCTGAAAACTATTGTATTTTTCAATTTTTCGGCAGCTTACTCTTCTCAAATGTTCACAGTGTTATTTTGTGCTCTACGAGTTTCTATTCTTTTTTCTGTTAGCCAAAAAACCAGTGAGAAGGTAATTGAGAATAATTAGGGATGATTAAATAATTCATAATTGTTTTCAGATCATTAAAATTGTTCCTTTCATCATTGTGACTTTTGGATGTTTGGCGGCTCTTCCTCATTTTTCTACCGACGCATTTTGTATGCAAATGGCCGAGCCAATGATTTATGGATCGGTTTTAATCATTTCTCAATTTCATGCAAGCAATGTGGTGAGGTTATGGATTTGATTTTATGGATTTGAGACAACTCAGAAATTCAAAATTTCGAAGGAAAAATTGAAAACAAATAGTGGACGAGATTTTGAAAGGTTTTGACTAAATACAGTATCGGTCAATGAGATATACAAAAACTATTTTCTTCAATTGATTTTTGTCAAGTTCCCGTCATTTAGAAATTTTGAGAGGCTGTAAAACTGACATAGATTGAAAACTTTGCATTCACAGTTTTTTTTTGAAAATTCCCAGTTTTTCAGATTTTTTCGGATTTGTGTAAAACTCCTGTATTTTACATTTTCAGTACAAAAACAGGCCCAACCAGGCGATCTTCAAAAATCCTCCATTTTTTTTAGGTGATCAGAAACTCGACATCAATATTTCAGAAATTCCGAAACTCCAAAAATTGAATTCAGAAATCGAATAAATAATATTTTCAGTCAATGGTCTACTTCAATTTGGTTGTTTATCTTATTGTGACAGTTACAATTGCGTTTCTGAATATTCTAATGGTGTGGAGAGTGCGAAAGAAGGGTTCCGGCGGAACTCTTACAACTCGTTCAGCTACGCAGAATGCAAAAATCGAAAAAACCCTGACTGGAACAATGATAATTCTATTATTCCCAATGATTGCCAGCTTGCTGATTTCGGTAGGGTGAACATCCAAATTTCGGTGAACATAAAGTCGAAAAACCGTTTCAAAACTCCCGAAATTTAAACATTCAGATATAGAGAAATTAAATATATCTAAATCTGCGAAAAAGAAAAAGAAATATTTGAATTTAAAAAAAACTGAGAATTTAGGAAATTTAATTATCGAGTCTGAAGTTTAAAATATATCTTTAAAGTCGCTAATACAATTTTTTCAGATGGGTGAACTCCTTCGCAGTTCATATTTCGCATATATTCTCCTTCTTCGCCCATTCTTCTTGGACGCCCGTGTTCACATCGTCACCTGTTATTTTTATTTGACTCATCCGATTTTTAGACAAATTCCACATGCATCTTCCGTACCGGTTTTCAGTCGAGCAACACTTTAAATTTTTCATGAAAATGTGGAGGAAATAATTAGTTGATAAATTCTAATAGAACAAAATCGTATATTAAAGTGAAATTTCAAAAAACAAATTTCAAATCAAGAAATCCTGAAAAATTAAATATCCTATCAAAAAGAACCCTTAAAAACACTATATTTTAAAGTTGTTTCTTTGCTTTCTTGAAAAGTCACAAGTCACACTTTCGTCTTATTTTTTTAAACAGAGCCAAGAAAACTTTAAAATTAAAAAAGACAACAGAGGAAACTTTGATTTCAGAAAAGAATAAGTCAACTGAAATAAGCAAAAAACTAGAAACACTTTGAAACATTTAGGTGACTTTCCCTTTATTTAAAAAATATACACTCGGTGATTGCGTATTTCATTCTATTTCTTTTCACGTGAAGCTCCTCCCACATGGCCGCAGCTGCGGCGTGAGGTATTTGCAACTGTGCCGCGCACTTCCACGATTATTATATTTAATGAGATTCCAGCGTAGTCCATGACCACTGCCATTCCCATTTCCTAGCGGTCTTGTTCTTGGTGCCCTAGTCGTGGTCGGTGACCTGATACATTTCATTTCCACCCAATTTGACATCCAATAGGCTGATTCCATACCAAAAGCAGTTATAACATTCCAGTTCACAGTTCTTATGAGAAATTAATAAATTTCAACGTTGTTAGCAGAAATTCGGAACACAGAAATGTCAAGTCTGAACGAAAGGAAGTTTTGATTGAATTCTAAATAATACAAAAAAAGACTCACTTGACAGAAATCTGGAAAGGCTGACCCAAATGAAAAAGTCCTGGGCTCCAAAGCGCGTGGCCCCATGCACCAGGATTATTATTGAAAGATGTTCTAGGATTTGGCATGTCTTGTCTGATATGAAGGGGATTTCTCTAGCTGTGATCAAATTGGAGCGAACTCTGAAAAATTGTTTTTTTATACTTACCTTTTTCAGAATTTCCTGCAAATTAATATGAACGTGCTTTCAGGGTTGTCTAAACTGTGAACTTAAAAATGAGACCCCGCAAGCTTATATTTGGCATATTTCGTGTTTTGGCACATTTGGGACTTCTTAGCAAGCAAAACATTAATTTGAGGATATTTCCAGTGTCCGCTCAAAATTTAACAAGTGACGGTCTTTTACCCCTAAAGAAAACACTCATTTTGATACTCGAAACATAACAAATTCAATTTAAGTATTTGTATTTGCTCTGATTCCAAAAGTTCTAATTTTTATGCCATTATTTCCATTTTTAAGTTTTCGTGGTGGGACCCAAAATTTTTTTGTTAAAACCTGAGCTTGTGTACTAATTTTTAAACTATTAGTTGCCTGGTGCATCTACCCTCCAACTCCTTCTAAAGGTTCCCTCTAACCACGCAACGACACTCCGCTATCCCGCTCGGCGCGCGCACAGTTTAAATTTAGTTTTGAGTGATTGCGAGCTTGGATTTGGCTCGTGGTTTTTGAGAGACTCTTTTTAAGGATTTCAAGTGAGTTTGCTTGAATTCTAAGCTTTTATTTGTTGTTTCTTTCTAACTTGTTCATAATAAACCGATTTTGTTACATTTCTTGTTGATTTTCTTCTATTTTATCACAGGAACCTGATACCCCGGACATACCGCGGGCAATTTATTGACAAGTCAAGTTCAATTTTCCGATTAGTATTGGGTTACTGCAGATTTTTAAACTCACGATGACGGTTGACTGAATATGGTTCCATTGAATGTAATAACATCGCCAATCTCCATTGGTCGAGTGAATTCGATCCTTTTATCAACGTAATTTCCATCCTATAATTGAAAATTATCATATCAATTAACTCAAAAAAAGCCAACTCACCAATCGATTACAGTCCAAAACTTGCGCCTGGATGGAGTTTAAGAAAACACCAAGAAAGAATAAAAATGTTATGAGTTTTAACATTTTGAAACATGTACGTAAAAATTGCTGAAGTTTTTTTTGTTGAAATCATAAAAACTTCGGTTCTTGATGTTGCAAAAAATTGTTGGTGGTTTGCAAAGTTAAATAAACCGTAGTCCGTAGTTAAAAACGGAAACAAAAATTTTGAAAAATTATAAAACTGCTTGGCATATTCATCACACCTTGTGGCAGTCAAATGGCATTGAATTTCTGAATTTCACAAAGTTTTGGAGAAGTCTAATACTCTGGAAAAGCTGGAATTTTCGAAATTTCAGCAAATTGTGCTCATTGCATTATATCTGATGATGATTTTCAAAAACTGATAATAAAGTTCCAGACACACCAAAAGTTCACATTCATCTTCGCAAAATTTGAAAATCTGAAATTCCATGATTTCGAAATTTCGAAATTCCGTGATTCAGAAAATAATAGGTTTGTTCTGAAATTCAAAATTTTCAAAGTCTTTGAAATTATGAAAAATTATGAAAATTTCTGAGTTTCTGATTTCACGAATTCCGAAATTCTGAAAATTGGATGTTCTGAAATTATTAGATTTGAAATTTTCACAATTTTATAGTTTCTTTTTGTAATAGTTCGTTTTAAAATTTTCGACTTTCTATTTCTTGATTTTTTATCATCTTCCCACTTCTCGAAAAATTTCCAAAAAACAAATCGGGAATATTCGAAACCTTCCTCGGTTCAATAAACTATATATAGTTGTTTGCCGCTGATAACACGGAATTGGACACATTGAACCATAAATTCCAGAAATTTGGTGTCATTATTTCAATTAGAGAAAAAATTGGATTTTTTCTGAAAGTTCTAAACTGTTCTGATATTCCTTTTGTAGCGCAATTTTTCAAAATTTTGTTTATTCCATGAATAGTTTCTGTTTTCAACATTGAAATAATTATAAACTGAATAATTAATTGTTTTCGTTTTAAAGGTGGGGGGACAGGAGATTTTTCGTAGTTTTTTTGTGGCTAGAGTATGCATTCTACCGTCACGGTGTACAACGCTTAATGTCACTCTGTGTACAGCTGTCGTCCTCGCCTTTATGTATGCAATCGGGCGTGCGCTTTCTCTTTGCCCGCGTAGCTCAGTCGGTAGCGGCGCCGCACCCTCAATCATCGCCCTCACAAGTTCAACTCCTCGAGGGGCATCTTTGAACGAAATTTCGAGAACATTATTTTTTTCATGTCCCCCCACCTTTAACAGAAAAAGGAACAACATGAATTTTAAAATTTTTTTCTTCATACTCCTCTGGGAGTCTCAAAAATATGCAAAGTATTTTTTTGAAACTTTTTCATTTAGATTGTCATTTAGCAAAAAAAAATATAATCAAGTTTCAGCCACGAACCATAATTTTCGGTCCCACAAAAATGTAGATCAGAATGGCCAACTTCAGATGGGTTCCACTGAAGTACGTTGAAGTAGTAGTATGAAGTACAAACGTAGGAGAGTCTGGATAAAATGGTCTTAATGGAGGCGAGACAGCAAAATTTCGGGGGATAGTTCGGGAAACGAAATCGCGCCGCGCTTTTGTAGACCATCGGTCGTCAGGCGCCTTCGCGCCCCTGTAGCTCAGCCGGTAGCGGCGCTGTACCCCTGAGCTGCCTGTCATGAGTTCAAACCCTCTTGGTGGTTCTCTATGCTAAATATCAGGAAAACTTTTTTTTGGTGTCTGGCCTCCTTTAATTGTTTGGGAATGTGTTTTTGTTTTGTTCGATTATCGTCAAGAAACAATAATTTTCTTTGAATATAGCTGAAGATATTATATCCGGTTAAACCTCATATTAAAAATTCCAGTTTTTCTTTATCCTTGAAAAAGGTTTCCGAAAAACCTATTTAGATTTGGATAATGTGAAATATGCCTTTTCCGTTCATTCCGGGTTTAAGCCGTTCGTTCCTTACCCACTATACGAAAAAAGGAAGAAAGGTAACACCCATTCAATAATGATGTTTATCTCCGACGTTCGGGATTCAAAAGACGGACAGTCTGGACTCTTTCATTTTGTCACAATGCGCTGTGGCACAAATACCATCTCATTATTCCGTTTTGTACTTTTATGCTGTGCTGGTTTATTGTGTTGGAAGTGTACCTATTATTTTTTCGGATATTCCAACGACTATGAGTTTCAACCTAGCAACCAATGTCATTTACCCTCTTGGAACCAGAAACACACGAATTTTGTTACCCGTTCCGTGCTTAATAATTTTTCCCGGTGGTTATGGATGAAATTGGAACTTTCGAAAGAAGTAAGAGTTTGGAAATTAATTCTGAAAAAATGAGAAAAATTTCAGAATAACCAAAATTACACATCTATCAGTATCTTGGGAGCATATGTCTACCCTGACCAAATTTCCATATCTCTAACTTCTCAGTATACAGTACAACAAAATCTATTCTGTCGTTACTATGACTGTAAACAGACGGAGATTCCTGGAAGTTCATATCGAAGTGTGGTTTTTCCGGAATCTGTCTTACATTGTCCTAGAAGAATTGGAGCCGAGTTCGTGTCGGTTTCGAGGAGTTTGGATGAAGAAGAAGAAATTTCAGAACCTGTTAGATTAACGTTCAGGTCGTTTGAAAGTGAGTGAACAGGTTTTATTCGGCAATTAAATCGAATAACTTGATCTTTATCTTACAGATCATCTTTCCCATTTTTCTTTTTGAATCATTGCCTAATTTGTCCTAATTTCCAGAACCACCACATGATCTCACGGTTTGTGTGGGTCCGATGTATGGTAACGAGTCAAAATGGCTTCAAATCGTGGATTTTGTGGAACATATGAAGCTGGAGGTAGACATAATTTTGGATATTAAACTAACCAATTGCTTCCAGGGCGCAACTTTTGTATATTTTTATGTGGGAGTAATATCAGATTATGATCGTAAAATATTGACTGACTACGTTCGAACCGGAGATGTAGAAGTAATAGATTTACACGACAAATATGAAAGACCCTATTACGCATGGCACCTAATTACTATTCAGGTGAGAAGATTCCATATTTAATTACAGAAAAATAAATATTTTCAGGACTGCCACTTGCGTGCAAAGTATCACTCAAAATGGGTGTCCTTTTTGGATCTAGATGAAAGAATTTCAGGAACTAAAAATCAAAGTCTTATTCAATTACTAAACGTCCAAGAACCCAATGTCGGGGAGATTCAACTTCCAGTTTTGAATATTATTAAGTATGGTGACGTAGCAAAAGAATTTGAGAATGTCGTAAAGTTAAAAGAGGAAATGATTTTTCGGAAGTGGACAGATTCCATTGATCCAACTTGGAATGCATCAAAAGCAATTGTTAAGCCAGAAAAGGTTAGTTTGGTATAAACCGCATTCTAAAAGACAATGCATTTTAACTCTATTATTTCAATTGAATACTAAATCTGTGAGCTACACAAATATTGGCGACATAATGATCGTGAGCCAATTTCCATACCATGTTCTGTTCACTTTTAGTATCCCTGTTTTTCTCATCCTTAAGTTTTTCGCTTATCTTCGTCGCAGAGTACTGTTTCCCTATTCCGGTGAACTCAATGCTTTTAGAAAACTCAAAAAGTTCCTTTATATTATCTGTTTCGAGTGACATCCAGAATTAGTGAAATTCTTTTCCAATTTCATTGAAGAAGCCGATCCTACGCCCAGTTTCACTTCTCCCTTTTTTAAGAGAAGATGATCCCACGCCCAATTTCATCTTCCACAATTGAAAAAATAAACAGGCATGACTTTTGTAGGATCCGAGATGATTAGGCTCTTTTTGTTTTCAGACAGTGTTTGAGAATTTGTTCAAACTGTGGTAATTGGTACTTCCGGACACACTGATCACAGTGCTGTTTTTATTTTTGCTTCTTGCCCCTCACAAAAAAATTATGGGCTCTGAAAGTGATTTCAGTAATAATTTCTCACTTTTGGAGTGAATTTTTGAAGGGGTCTATAACAGTTGTTCAGAGTTTTTCGTATGTGAGTCGTATTTTTAAAGATTACTCTACAATCTGAAACGGTCCATACTCCCAGGGGGCATCGAAGTAGGGGGCATCGTGCTCAAAGGGGGCATTCACTCATAGGGGTCACTAACTCATAGGGGGCATCCTGAAGTTGTCTCTTAGGGGGCATCCCACCATGTCTCATAGGGGGCATCGGACCAAATGCTCCCAGGGGGCATTGATAGTAGGGTTTCCATTTGGGGGGGGGGGGGGCCTCTTATTCATTTTCANAAATGCGCTCATGGCCTTTATGCTGAACAGCTGAGTGGAACTGCATTCACAGCTCCTCGATGTCAAAACCAGCGCTCGTGGCTCTATCGTATTCGTCCTTCTGTAATCCACCGTCCATT